CATTCCTTCTCAATCTTTATATGGAAAACAGGAAGAAAGGAAGGCTCACCTGAGCTGGAAGGTTATGGCCAGAAAAATAACGTTCATCGTTGTTTTTTTTTGTTTGTTTTTTTTAATAGATGACCTCACGATGTAATTTTCTTCACCCGCTTCACGGCAAGTAAAGCCTCGCCGTGGCAACTTTCAAAAGCTCATCATACGCAGGGCAGGAGGATTGGGAAAGCTCAGCCTCAGCTTTTTGCCCTCCTCAGACATTTTCCTGCTTTCCAGCAGAGCACTGGCCCCTGGATCAGACAATGTTAATGAAATAACATCATCCTCCAGCGGCTCACTCTCGTTAAATTAAGAATGCAAAAGAGTTCAATACTAATATATAATGAGAACCTTTGATTTAATCACCAAAACACAACAGTATGATCTTCTTTCAATTTAGTACTTTTAACAATCAGTTCATTCGAGAGCATCCATAATTACTGAAGAATGATTGACCTCCTGTAACACGCACAGGTGTGATTTCTTACCTGTCTGTCAATAGAGATTTAATGTGTGATATTCCATTAAAACTCGCCTAACGAGTCCAGATACATCCAATCAAGGGTGTAGGTTAGATTTTGGCATTGGTGGGGACATAACAGCAGATAACAGATATTTAATTGTTCGATTAAAATTATTGCTAGGAACAATTTAGTAGGTGCTGGATATTGGTAGGGACATGTCATAGCATCTCTACTCAATTCTACACTTTTGCACCCATGAATAATGAAGATACAATGTCCAGATGGTGAAGGTTACTTTGGAAATGTGACAGGTAACAGATTCACTGATTACTGTCATACTTTCAAAACCCTTCATCACTTGAATTAAGAGTATAATAATTGAATTTTAAAGCACAGCCATGTCTGACTTTAGCACCACTTTTTACTTTCAGATCATTCTGAGGTTAAATACAGATTTAAAATCATAACAGTTTAATAGCTATGATACTGTTTTTGAAATCAAATATTGCTATAAAATGGGGGGGGGGGCAGTTCATCTGGAAAAAATAAAGCATATACATAAACCCAAATTGGAAATAAAACAGTTATTGAATAAACATGTGTCCTAAACGCCTGAAACATTGCTGTCTCATATGTTAGAGTGGTCACTGCAATTTATGAAAGTACTCAATTAAATATCTGTGTGAAAATATTCAGATGCAACCCCCTTTGCAATCGTTAACATTTTCATAAGTAATTGTAATTTAGTTACACATTTTCTCTCAGTAACTGTAACAGATTAGAGTTACATTTGTAATTAAATTGTGTAATTCCATTACATATAACTAGTTACTCCCCAACACTGATGCTACATTCTCACAGACTAAATATATGAAAGACGTGGCTTACATAAAGAGTAACTCAAAAATAATACATCGAACCTGGAATTATAAAGAATTTCAAATGGCATTTTCCCATCGGTTTACATGAGTGGTGGAGATATTCTCTCTCTCTCTCTCTCTCTCTCTCTCACACACACACACACACACACACACACACTGAGTCTGTACTAACCGCAGCTCTCCTCTGTTCGCCAGGATTCCTCTGCTTCTCCTCTTCATCAAGTCTTGTGCTTCTCCTAAACTGGATTATGAGACGTGATGATCGGGTCCAGGATAAGCACCAGATCCCAATCCCTCTCTCTCTCACACACACACACACACACACACACACACACACTGAGTCTGTACTAACCGCAGCTCTCCTCTGTTCGCCAGGATTCCTCTGCTTCTCCTCTTCATCAAGTCTTGTGCTTCTCCTAAACTGGATTATGAGACGTGATGATCGGGTCCAGGATAAGCACCAGATCCCAATCCTCTGCTCATCTCATGGGATGTGAGATCTGGATAATCAGGAATTCCTTTGATTGACTCGAACAGGATTCAGTGCGATGGGAAAGAGTGAGTCAGAGAGTCCGGCTGAGAGAAGGAGAATTTAACTGCATTAGAGAGAAACTACTCCGAGGTGAGCATTTCATGATAGAGCTTCATCCTAACAGCAAACTGGATATCGGAGTCGATGAAGAGATTAAAACTAATTCATAGAAAATGTGTGACAAAAACAAAAACAATCAAAATAATTGGTTTAGCTGCATGCCATGTGAGCATTAACTAACATCATGTGTTGTTAAATTATAAGAATCCAGATCGTTCTTTGATTGATATCGAAACTAGTCCTGGAACACGAGTCAATATTCTGCTCTATATTGTTTGGTTTAATTAACATTAATATGAATATAATAGTGTTTATGCAGAAGGCGCACTAGCCATTAAATATTTTAATATCCTGTACTCTTTAATAAATTATAGGCCTGACATAAAGATGTCTAACAAGTCTAGATTTACAGTCTGCAGTGGAGTCCAAAAGTATAAATAATGATTCTATTTTGCATATTATGTGCATATCTTCAGTACAAATTCTAAGCAAAAAAGGAGCTTGAGCATGAATGTGAGAATGTCTGTATTTGGCTTCTCTTTTGCTTTGATAAACAAAACCTGAAGATCTCGTCACCTATCAATAGCAGAGAATCGTAAAGATTTCTGGTAACACCTTACATGAAACGTTTATATATCATTATGCACCTTACAATGCATTGTATGATAATTGTAACCACAGTTCTAATATATTATAATACACTATTCCTTCAGAAAGCATAATGCATTAAAACACACAACAACCAATTTCAGCTAATCAATCAGCAAAACTGCATTTTATTATTTTTATTTATACATAAAGGCGTCAAGTGAAGCGTTACCATATTTTGTATTTTACATCAGTGTTTCATAACCTTTTAAAATGTACCTTTACGCATCATGCTTTTATCCAAGTGACTGCATTGCATTCAGTCTATAATGCATTCCCTGGGAATCGAACCAATGACCTTTGTGTACTGTTTAAGCTGCAAGAATGTTAAAAATCCTAAATTCCTATACAGTGATGTTGGTTTCATTTGCAGTCGGCAGGAAGGTTTAGCGTGTGTCATTTATGCTGTTCACCTGATTAACAAACTAAACTTTGACCTTCAGATTAAGTCTTCAAACCCCACCGAGACTCTTCGGGCTTCTCGTTTCACACGTGGAGAGTTTGTTAATGAACGTGTTAATGATCACAGACTGCATGGGTTTGCGTTACACACTATTGATTCTATCAGGACGTGTTGTTCTGTGCTGATCCGCGTCGGATCTCAGTGTGTGTGCGATGCTGAACTGAATTCCTGGAGCTGAAGGAACGCTTGTTTGGCAGGAACCTGCTGTTCAAACTCAGATTAGGGCTTTAGTTGAATATGTGTGGTGTTTGTCAGCTGGAGCTCCTGATGGCGAGGACAGAGACACACAAAGACACTTGGGACAGCTCTTCTCTGCAATCGGCTCTGATCTGACGCTGACTGACGGCGTGTCTTTTAAGGGCAAATGCATCCCTCAAATACACTTTAAAATCTGTTTGAAATGTAATTCACTGTATCAGTTTTCTAAATGCATGTTTTTGATCTTACTGTGAACGATTCATCTGTGCATGTTTCATTTTGCATTTTTATTTTTTTTTGACCTGGTAATGTTTAATCTGAATGTCATAACTGGATATCCTCTCTTGTAACATATGCTGAACTTCTCCAATCACTTGTCATGTCAAAATACAGAAGAAAATATCTGCTGCTGCTTCAATTTCAATGCAACTTTAATACTCAAAATGGTTTGTTCAACTAACTATGAGCCATAACAGAAATGCTTAACTAATTATGCAATGTAATCCGAAATATGATAATTACTAATATTAATTACTAACCCTATTATCACAACTTTAATATCACTAACTATGAGCAATAATAACAGTGATGCTTAAATTAGCAAACACATACATTTTGTTTATCTAGGATGACTAAAAATTTGTTCATGTTGGGACACAAATGTGGAATATTCCTCAGATTAAACTAAATCAACGTGTTTTAGTGTTAGGTTCCGTTTCTGTGGAAGCCCATTGTAAATCATAATTATGACAAAAAAAGATAATAATTTTGACAAAACAAAAATTATCACATGAATTATGAGATTAAAAAGCTGAAATCATGAGATAAAATTCATAACTATGACAATAAAAAACAATTAAAAAAAATCATAATTTTGAGATAAAAATAAAAAGTTGTAATTGTGACATAATTAGTCATAATTATGATATTAAAAAGTCAAAATTATGAGATAGTCATAATTATGACATTACAAATCATTATGAGATAAAGTCATAATTATGAGATTAAATAGTCAAAATTATGAGATAAAAAGTCAATTATGACATTAAAATTTTTAATTATGACAATAAGTCATTAATTATGAGATAATTAAAAGTTATAGTTGTGACATACTAAGTCATAATTATGGAATAAAAGGTCTAAATTATGAGATAAAAAGTCACAATTATAACATTCTAAATCATAATTATGACATAAAAAGATCATAATTTTGACAAAACAAAAACGATCACATGAATTATGAGATTAAAAATATGAAATTATGAGATAAAAAGTCAAATATGACATTAAAAAAACAATTACAAAACATTTTGAGATAAAAATAAAAAAGTTGTAATTGTGACATAATTAGTCATAATTATGATATTAAAAAGTCAAAATTATGAGATAAAGTCATAATTATGACATTACAAATCATTATGAGATAAAGTCATAATTATGAGATTAAATAGTCAAAATTCTGAGATAAAAAGTCAATGACATTAAAAATTGAAATGATGACAATAAGTCATTTATTATGAGATAATTAAGTTACAGTTGTGACATACTAAGTCATAATTATGGAATAAAAGGTCTAAATTATGAGATAAAAAGTCACAATTACAACATTCTAAATCATAATTATGAGATTGACTAGTCGAAATGACTAAAATACTGCAATGCATATGCATTTTGGTTTAGATGTGTATGCACACCACATTGAGTATATTATATAAATGATGTTGTCATATCAGTGTATTTTACACTGCTGTTGTTCAGTTTTACCTCGTTCAGATGCTGTTTTTGTGTCTTCACGCAGGTGCAGATCAGAGCGGTGTGATGTCTGATAACACGTCACTGCCGTCTGTGTCTAACGCGTCTCTCCCGCCGCTGCTGACGGACTGGACGGCGCCCTCCTTCACTCCCGCGGCTCAGGCCCGCGTCTCAGCCACCATGGTGCTCTTCCTGTTCGCCGCTGTCAGTAACCTGGCGCTCCTCATCAGTGTGTCGCGCGGTCGGCGTCTGGCGTCTCACCTGCGTCCTCTTATCATCAGCCTGGCGTCGGCCGACCTGATGATGACCTTCATTGTGATGCCGCTGGACATGGTGTGGAACGTGACGGTGCAGTGGTACGCCGGAAACGGGCTCTGTAAGCTACTGTGCTTCCTGAAGCTCTTCGCCATGCAAACCTCCGCCTTCATCCTGGTGGTCATCAGTCTGGACCGGCATCACGCCATCCTGTGGCCGCTGGACTCGCTCAACGCCCATCACAGGAACAGGAGGATGCTACTGCTGGCCTGGAGCCTCAGCGCACTGATCGCATCGCCACAGGTCACACACACACACACGCTCACAAACACACTCATATACGCACCCTCACTTACACACTCTCACTCACTAACTCACTAACTCACACACTCATTCACGCTCACTCACTAACTCACTCTCGCTCACTCACTAACTCACACACACTCACTCACTAACTCACACACGCTCACTCACTAACTCACTCTCACTCACTAACTCACACGCTCATTCACGCTCACACACTAACTCACTCTCACTCCTCACTCTCACTAACTCACACACTCATTCACACTCACACACCAACTCACTCTTGCTCACTCACTCACACACACACTCTCACTCACGCTCATACTCTCACTCACACACTTGTTCACTCACACACTCTCTCACACTCGCTCAAGCTCACACACTCTCACTCACACACTCACACGCTCATTCACGCTCACTCACTAACTCACACACTCATTCACGCTCACTCACTAACTCACTCTCACTAACTCACAAACTCATTCACGCTCACAAACCAACTCACTCTTGCTCACTCACACACACACTCACTCACGCTCACACACTCTCACTCACACACTCTCACACTCACTCAAGCTCACACACTCATTCAAGCTCACACACTCACTCACTCTCACTCACACTCTCTCACACTCACTCAAGCTCACACACTCACACTCACTCATTCAAGCTCACACATTGACTCACGCTAACTCTCACTAACACACGCTCTCACACACTCAGTCAAACTCACACACACACACACACACTCACTCACTCACTCATTCAAGCTCACACACTCACACACACACTCACTCACTCATTCAAGCTCACACACTCACTCACGCTAACTCACAAGCTCTCACTCATGCTCACTCACTGACTCACAATCACTCGCTCACACACTCACTCACTCAGACACACTCACTTATACACTAATTCAAACACATACACACTCACATGCACTAGAAACTCTGGATTCACAAATGTGAATGAGGAATTATGTAATGAAATATGCACTAATTTGCATGAATTTACTGCAAATAAATCTGAACATTGGATAAATCCAGGCTTTTCCAGAGGGGATTCTGGATTTCTCTTTTCATCACTCCATAAAAAAAAATACTGTCAACAGACAGAAAACAAACACATTTTAAACATGTTTTTAGGAATAAAATGTTGTATAAATCAGTGTGACTGAAATATGAACAAACAGTCAGAATATAGAGAGGAATAAAACTGTAAAGTTTGGTGTTTGTAAGATAAAAAAAAAACTCTTTAAAGATTGGAATCTACAGATGCAAATAAATAAAGGGCAATAAAATAAACACTTCAATGTGTATTTTGGATGTTTTCCTTCCACTAGTCTGGAAGAAGACATGTTATGGAGTAAAATAGCACATAATTGACCAATGCATGAATACTCGCTGGTTCTAAACACAAATCTTACTCTTGTAGCTGTTCATCTTCCGGACGGTCAAAGCGGAGAGTGTGGACTTCACTCAGTGTGTCACACACGGGAGTTTCCGCGAGCGCTGGCATGAGACTGCGTACAACATGTTTCATTTCGTGACGCTGTACGTGATTCCGCTGCTGGTCATGAGCTGCTGTTACACCTGCATCCTCATCGAGATCAACAGACAGCTGCACAAGAGCAAAGGTACAGCGACCCGCGGCCCTGCAGAGTCTCACAGCCTCTTACACTCGACTGTAATGGCAAATAATCGCTTCTAAAGAAAATATGACTTGCACGTCATCTAAAAGCTTTTACCATAGCGTAACATTTTGTTTATTTGGGATGAGTAAAGTTTTCTTCATGTCGCAACACACATGTGGAGTAAACCACCAAAATAAAAAAATTAAAGTAACAATATTTAACGTCAGGTGTAGTTTCTAAAAGTATAAATTATGAGATTTAAAAATCAATTGAGGTAAAAGTATAAATTGAGATATAAAGTCATAACTATGAGATAAATGTCTAAATGGGATACAATAAGTCATAATTATGAGATAAAAAGTTGGAATTATGAGACAATCGAAATTATGAGATAAAGGGTCATAATTATGACATAAAAAGTATGTCAACTATAATTATGAGATAAAAGGTCAAAATGAGGTAAAAAGTATCAATAAGATTTTAAAACAAATCATAATTATGAGGTAAACATAAATTTTGAGATAAAGTCATGAGATTAAAAAGTCATGACTATGAGATAAATGTCTAAGTGATACAATAAGTCATAATTATGAGAAAGTCAGAGTTATGAGATAATCGAAATAATGAGAAAGAGTCAATTATGACATAAATCAAAAGTATGACAATTATGAGATAAAATTTTATAATTGAGATAAAAATCTTAATTATGAGATAAAAAGTAAATTAAAAGGTAAAAACTGAAAATTATGACATACTAAACCATAATTAAGATACAAAGTAAAATCTAAAAATATAAATTATGAGATGAGTCATAATTATGACAAGTCAAAAAGTATGACACGCAAAATCATTATTATGAGATCAAATTCATAAATATGAGGTTGAAAAAAAAAAACAATTATGAGATAAAAAGTCATAAAACATTGAAATGATGAGAAATGTTTTGCTCATAATTATGACTTTTTAATCTCAATTTCGTTATCTCATAATTACTTTTTTTGTCTTATGTGGCAAGATATGATGCCATGAGTGAAACAATAACCTGCTGGACTGACACTGATATACAAGAGAAAACTGTTAATAATTCATCATCATAAAGGCAACAGTACATTTACAATACCCATAATGCAAAGTTACATAAGCAGTTAGTAATCCTTATGTCCGGTACATTTGCTCAATTCCTTTGAATTGGCAGGTGTGGAAAAGAGTTGATTTTAGCCGCTGAAGATACCTATAATGCCCCTCTCAGGTTTAGCGGCTCCATTAGGCGCTCAATAACACACAGTCACATGTCTACAGTAACAGCAGTCAGTGGATTACTGTAATATCGCAGCAGTGTCGGATCAGCGCAGCTTCTATTTTCCTCCCTCTGAAGCCCCGAGAGCTTTGCTCAGATCTGACTCTACGGTCACTTGATTCCTGCCAAGGGCAACAAACAAGGTCAGATATTCATGAGGGTTTGCTAGATGTTTTTATAGGCTTAGAGACATCACAAAAATATCACCACCCTGCCCTTCTCACATATTTATGAGTTACATTTTATTTTTATTTTCTTATTATGCATATTTACTTTTTTATTTTAACAACATTTGTGTGTGTGTGTATGTGTGTTGGTATATAGAATAAAGTTTATTATTAAATGATAGAGTTTAATGACGAGGATTTGGGCAGTTAATATGTTTTAAAATTAATTTTGATTGTAGGCCAATCATATATTTTAAAATAACTTTTTTTAGGAATTGTGCCATCTTCACCTACATAAGCATTTAAAAACATTGCAGGTTCATGTGTCATTTGTTTTATACATTTAATTTAATTTTTTGGATGTTAAATTGTTTTTAGCAGATGAATATGAAGAGCATTGTTAATCAGACTAAAATCATAAAGAACATTTTGAACTTGAATTAAAATAAATATGAACTGAAATAAAATATGGAAAAACTTTTTATTTTAAACTTTTTTTTTTTTATTTAATAAATGTTTGATTGGTTTAAGTTCAGTGTTAATTTTGTCAACGAAGACGACAACGAAAAATATTTGTTAACGAACATTTTTTCTGTGACTAAGACAAGACGTTGACGAACTAAAACTAATATCTGATGATAAAAACTATGACGAAATTTATGCCGCGTCTTCGTTAACAAGACGAGACGAGACTATAATGTTATTTGAGGACTACCGGAATTCAAAATACATCCTATAGCAGGGTTCCTCAAATCTTGATCCAACCCTGATCAAACTCTCCTACCTGTGATTTTCTAATGATCCTGAAGACACTGATTAGCTTGCTCAGGTGTGCTTGATTAGGGTTAGAGCTAAACTCTGCAGGAAAGTGGATCTCGTGGGACAGATTTGAGGATCCCTGTCCTATAGGCTACTGTCTTGTCCTTTAAAAATGTGTGTCCCTGTCATTGGATTGCAATCAGATAAGGGACGTTTGCATATCTAGTCTCAGCTCCCAGGAGTCACAATTCGTTGTCGATTAACTTAAAGCCGGGCTCACACTACAGGATTGAAAGACTAGCCCAATCACTGTGTTGCTTACACTATGCAACAAGATTTGTTCTCATCTGTCGTGGTCTTGTCATAGCTGCGCGCATACTACACAACACAACGCTAACAAGGTGCGCACACTACAAAATATTCAGTGAAGAGGCGTTCCCGACCATCAGCGAAAATACGTTTTCTCACATAAATTCTCGCGAGAAATTTCAGTGATTATAGGCCATTTCTTCAAGCATGGACGATCAACTGGCCCTTCAGTTGGTCTGTAGTTATTTTATCAGAAAGAAAGAAGAAACCACGACATAAGAGAATATGGCTTGGAAGACGTGGACTGTCAGTAATGCAGAAAGAGTTGGAGGTAATTAAACAGTACAATGAAACGTGGTATTATATACACAAAATATAGCCTATGCATTTGTTACATTTATTTCTAGTTAGTTGATTTGATAAATTTTTGGCTTTTCATGTCTGTTCATAAAGATGCATGATAAGAGTATTTATACCATCTGCACTGTGATTGGCTGGATTAGCTCCACCTTGTCATTGTGTCGCTCACATTACGAGATCGCGTGGCGATAATATCAAACCGGTTTGAAAATATCGTAGCGTCTGTGATAGATCGAGACAGGTTCGGATCACGTTGCTGACCTGTGCTCTCTCTCGCGCACGCTCCACTTCTTCAGTTCTCATATACAGCGCGCGATCAGTTCTCAGCTCAGATACACACACAGCAGTCCAAATGTCTATCGTGTAGAGTATCTCACTAAATACAGTCGGTTATGGATTAAGTGAACGTAAACAGGTGGGTGAAAACTGAACGCGTGTCAGTATTACATGCATGCTTTCCATCTTAAAGGGACAGCGTTCCTAATTAAGTACCTATTCGTGTCATTAATGTTAAATAAATATGTTAAGTAAACCTACTGTATCTGAAAAATGAATTTAATTTGTATCTCTTTCGTATTTGTCTTATTATGCTTCTTTTTCAAAATTATATATATTATATATATCATATATGACCAACTATAATTTTTATAAGTTGCTCCCTTTTCACTTACTGTTAAAGGGATAGTTCATCCAAAAATTATAATTGTCAACATTTATTCAAGTTTTTCCAAATTCAATCCTTGATTCAAATTTCTCATAAGCTTAACTGATTTTGTCTAAAGAGAAAAGAATTAATGACTAATGACTAAATGACTTTATTAATGAATTAATGACTAAAAGTTGACAAAAATGCAATGACTTTTCGTCGACTAAATCTATGAAAGACTCAAATTACTAAAATGTGACTAAGACTGTTAAGCATTTTTGCCTCAAGATTAAGACTAAATAAAAAATGCCTGTCAAAATTAACTGTTTAAGTTGATGAACTAAAATAACTAAAACTAAAAATGAAAAAATAAAAGAAACCATATAGTCATATTAAAAAAAACAATCAAAATGACAAAAACAGAATGGCTCATTTCAGATTTTCATTCATGCATTTGGCAGATGTTTTATCTGACTTGTATTGCATTCAAGCTATGTTTGATCAGTTTTAGTTTTAGCCTTCCTGTAACTCAAACTGAAGAGCATAATGCTTGCAACGCCAAGGTTATGGGTTTCATTCCCCTGTAAAGCATGAACTGATTAAATGTGTACCTTGAATGCAATGTAAGTTGCTTTAGTTAAAAGCATCTGTCCAATGCATAAATGTAAATCAGTTCATGCATTCCCTGGGAATCGAACCCATGACCTTAATGTTGCGAACGCAACGCTCTTCTGTTTGAGGAACAGCTCTGATGCCATGCTGATGCCGTGTTTGTGTCTGCAGCGGGCGAGTCTCTGAGACGCAGTGGCACAGACATGATCCCGAAGGCCCGGATGAAGACGCTGAAGATGACCATCATCATCGTCCTGTCGTTCGTGGTCTGCTGGACACCCTACTATCTGCTGGGCATCTGGTACTGGTTCCAGCCGGAGATGCTGAAGGTCACGCCCGAGTACATCCATCACCTGCTCTTCGTGTTCGGGAACCTGAACACCTGCTGCGACCCGGTGATCTACGGCCTCTACACGCCCTCGTTCCGCGCCGATCTCGCCTGCTGCTGCCACTGCCGGACCCCCGCAGACTCGCCGTGCTCTCTGGACCGGCTCTCGGCCCGACACGGAGAACACGAGTCTGACCCGGCCAGCGTGAAGAGCGCATAAACCACGTCTCAATCCTCACGACTCCAGTTCACGACGGGTTTGACGGAGCATCTGCATCAGAACACGCTTCAGACTCTCAGCCGCTGGAGAGCCCAGGTTAAAAAAGTACACTTCCATAATGTACTTAAAGTGCTCTATTTTCACGCACTATTTTATACTTAATATACTAAAAGTCCGTGCGTTTACATGCACCCTCTTAATGCGATTATAATGAGCTTTTGACAATTATTGCGATTAAACTATACCTCATGTAAACGCAATACTTCGATCTAAATAATGCGATTAAGCTCATAATCGCAGCAAGCACAATTGTATTAACATAGGTGGCGTACACCAATTTTAATCGAAATATACAAACACCGTATTGGCACTCTGACGCTCATCCAGAAACGGCGAGTAGAACACGACGGCAGCGTAGACAAACTAATTGCCATCACATTTCTATGGCACTGAAAAAGCATGGAATACAACCATACAAACGTGTTTTGCATTAGATGTAAATAAATTAAAACAGTGGCCAGTAACACACCTGCTCTTTCCGAGTCCATCATTTGTGCTGTGCAGTGGGGTAATGTGAATAATGGCAGTAAAAAATAACCACAATTCTTAGCGAATAATAAGACTAATGGAAATTGCATGTAAACGTATGATTGATTCTTTAGTACTTCTTAAGATCAAGTAAACGTACTCAACTGTGCTATTTTGGGACACCATGAATATCTATCTATCTCTGAATTGATATTTACAGCTTATGTGATTGGCTGTAAATATGATTAAATTCAGAGATAGTATGGTAAAAGTGCATTTTAGTTCATGGTGTCCCAAAATATCACAGTTGAGTTCACTTGGATGATCTTAAGTTTATCTTGAGAAGTACTAAAGAATCGTTTTTAGTATATTAAGTACAAAATTAGTGCGTGATTGATAGAGCACTTTAAGTACATTATAGAAATGTACTCTTTTTTTTATTTAACCTGGGAGCCGCGGGGTTCATGCACAACTAATGAAAGGAGCTCAGAGCAGATTTACCCAGAAGCCTCTGCAGTTTTAGAATAACTTCACAGATTTCACAGCGTGGCTTTTGTTATTAAAGCAGCTGGACGCACTGAAACGTCTGTATGTTTACGCTGTGTGTGTTTGCATGCAGAGTGACTGTTATTGTTTGCATAAAACTTTGTTTAGGCATTTTTTGCATAAAAATCTTGACTGGCATTGAATCTGGTCCACTTTAAAGCACATTCTGACCCAAAATCGCCAACACAGACACTGCAAAAGGTGCTTCTCTGTCAGTATTTTTGTCTTGTTTTCCAGCACAAACATCTAACATTCTTAAATCAAGATATATTTACTGGAGGTGCAAAATGACTTGAGATAAGACGTCTTGTTTAATGATGAAATGAATTAAATTTATGATTAAAACAAGAACAAATATCTGCTAATGGGGTCAGAAAAATCAACTTCATTCAAAGGGAAAACAAGTTGATATTTCTTAAATTTCTCATTAAACAAGACTTAATATCTCATGTCATTTAGCATTTCCAATGAATGTATTCTGATTTAAGATATCTGTACTGGAAAACAAAACAAAATGACTGATATACACATAATGGTGCAGAAGCATTGATCCTGTGCAGAGTTAGTGCAAAATGTGACTTGCTCAGAATTTCTGCCCATGCAAAAGTAATAAATTCTAATTATTTCACAGAGAATAACTCAAACACTGTTTCTAGTTTAGTAGTCAGCTTAAGCTCAATGCTGCTTCACAAAAGATCTCAATATGCAGTTTTATGCATTTGGCAGATGCTTTTATCCAAAGTGACTAATGTTGCATTCAATGTATACATTTGATCAGTTCTTCCTTTTCTGTGAATTGAACCCATGCTGCACCACAAACTGTCAGAAATAGCAGCTGTTAATACAGCCAATTAAACACAGTCAACCTGCTCGTCCTGACCCTGCCTTCTGTTCTTAGACCCATACACTCACACACACTCTTACACACACACACACACACACACACACACACTCTTACACACAC